TTTCCATACTATTATGGCTGCGTTTATCATATAACGTTCGCAATGCTCGCAAATAACGTCCTTGTTTAATATTTGATAAACAACAAAGATAGAATATTTTCATGAGCGTTGCGAGCGTTAAATGGAACGCACCTTATGTATATAGACAAGAACGAACAATCAACTTTGGCACGAAGTGATTGGCAGCCTTGGCGGAAGAAGAACTAAACTATAAAGGAAATAGAAGTAAATGAAGATTAGGTTAGGCATTGCAAGAAAGCAAAAATTTAATCTAACGTGAGTTGTTACTGCTCTTCTATTAAATACATCGTTTTATACTAAAATGATAATTAAATTTGATACTTTACATTTAACAGTACAGAAATAGTTGATTCGATATATCCTTATTATTGACCCGAGATATTACTTCTCCTTAGATACGGCATTGTCTGTGTTGTTGAAACATATTAAAAGGATCATAGGCGTGGAATCTTTTTAGACTGCTGACAGAGGAAATCAATGAGCTTTCATGCTCTTAAAGTTATTATTGACTTCCTTTTTGCTTTACTTGTATATATATTAGCAGGCTTTAGAGTAAATACATTTATATTGCGCTAAAATTTTTATTATTGATCATACTATATCAGTTGTAATTTATTTTTCTGTTATAAAGATTATTTTTTTGATAGTTTGATTGGAAATGTATGTAATTTCTATTTATATTTTCAATTTATAATTAAATCAAATTTAAAAATGAATTGATTTCATGACGTAATTGTATACTAATCTACACAAAAATATATATTTAAGTACTAACAAAGTCGCCGCTTTGACCAAATATAAAATTTCTCTTATTTTATTTACAGGTAAAGTACTACTATCGAGTACAAAGTACTATTTATTCAAATCTACATTCAATGCTTAATGACTTTTGAAAATTAATTTTAAATATAAACAAATTGCAGACTATAATAAAAAATGAGTAATTTACAAGGAAGAAAGACATATAAGAAATTTTTAGAACCGATAGACGTATCAACAAAGTGTAATCGTCGAACTTTTTTACGATGGATGAAATTCGCCGAAAAAAGTTAATATTTATTACATAATTAGTCCAGTAGTTATAAATTAATTATTCTTTTCTAGCGTGTTGCTACTGACATATATATGTTGACTTATTTAAATCTATTTGCTATAGCTCTTTTGATTCTTCTTACTTTTTTATTGTTCTCACTCTTTATGCCTTCATATAGTGTCTTTATCGCATGCATAAAATTATCACATTATAAAATTATGTATTGTTTCATATTTCAAGTATCTTTCTGCAGTGTTTAGTAGTACAATTTTTAAACTCAATTTATTCCATAATATTTTAACATGTAAAAATTTAATCTATTCTTTACAAACAATACGCATAGGCGGGATTAATGTAATAATCTCATGTATTTATTGTAATACCGCATGAGATAACTACATAAGCCAGATCACAAAATAAGCATAGTTATGGGTTTTTAGAGATATAACAAATAATAATTTGTTGAATATATATATATATATAACTGAATAATTCATTTTTTGTTACTAGATAACTAATTTTATCTGACAAAATCAGATAACAGGTTTTTTTGATAATTGCACAAAGTTCCCGCTAAACAAAATTAGGTTGCAACAACGGTTTTGAAACGTTAGATTCTTACTATGTGACATTTTGTCTCATTTACGTTTTGATAACGTCCTAGCAACCAGAAATGTCCTGAGTCGATTACCTTACGTATGCGACGTCACATCTGCAACGTTCTCGCGATATTTCTAAAACTTGCCTGTTTTACTTTACATAGATACGTCACATTTGCAACGTTTTAGCTACATTTCTAAAACTTCCCTAGTTACTGTTAGATTGTTAAAATAAGTATTATTAATTAGCATCAATTTTAGAATAAAATCGTGAAAAAAAATTTTCCTCGAGATAAATTTTCCTAAATTCGAGAATTAATTTTTTTCATGATGAATTTTCCTAAATTCGAGAATTAATTTTTTTTCATGATGCATCCCAAACGGTCACCCATCCGAAGTTGTACCACGCCTTGCATGCTTAACCTTGACATGGTACGGGAACTGCTATACTTCGATGACCCACGAATCTGTATGTTAAAGTCTGTATAATTGTGATATATCTGTTCAATGGAAATATTAAAAACGGATGGTTTATGTGTTTATATGATAGTGTATGTATGTATTAGTGTATGTTTCTCAGCAAAGAATCATAAAACAGTTGTAAAATTGTTGAGCCTGCTGAACGCGACTATCATGATCAGCCAAAATAAGCGCATTCAGAAATGCAACCGTTTATTTGCGATGAGCACGTTATTATAACGGAGCGCAGTAAAATATTAAATATTTAAGTAACGTTGGGGAATTAACGTTTCAGAATTGTAGCATATATTATGTTGTTGCGATGGAATAAAAGTTAACGTTTCAAAGGAAATATTGATGACACGTGGCGAAATGAATATTTTAAAAACATTATATATACAACGTTGAAGCAATGTTTTTAAAGTTGCAAAGAAAATGTTTTATACAAAACGTTACTTCCATGTTACAAAACGTTTCTTGTGTGACGTTCCGAATGGTTACGTTTAGTCACGTTTAAAGCGAAAATGCGACGTTTCTGGTATGTTCCACGAAATGACACAAATAAAACGTTATTTTTAATCGTTTACGCAACCATTTATGAACCTATACATACAAAATGTTACAAACTTACTATATTACAGTGAAAATGTAACGTTCCCTGAAGGTTTCATGTTTAGCGGGTTATTAAAAATTAAAAATCTAATTGTTTTTTTTACAATAAAAGATATTTTAATGTAAACAATATTATAAGTATGCTACAAAAATTGAAAAACTAACATCTGCTAAATACGATTTTTTAATATTTTATTAATAATTTTTAATATATATAATTGTTTAAAATTAATTTAATGAAAACTTATTCTATAAATTGTATTAAGAATAAATAATATCTATATTTAATTTACCTAAGATTAAATACCTCACGAGTCAGTAGTATAGTAAATAGTTTAATTGTTTCTATACAAATTGTTCAAAATAATTTTCACAATCCAATCAAATAATCCAATTATCCGGTCAGATGGCTGAATTGTAAAAAAGCTTTACAATATTTTATCTGCCTGATAGCCGGACATTGGATATATTTGCCAATTGTATCTCTTCATTCTCATTTCGCCTTATTTAATGCAGTATTCAGTAGCCGCCTCTTTATGCTGGATATTATGCTGGAGCAGTGTGTTTTATACGAATTACATTATTACAATATCCGCCTAAGCGTCTCTTTTTGTAAGAGATATTTATATAGCACATAGCACATTATCTGTGTGTAATTAAATTACACTATATTTACAATCAATATATATTTTAAAGTTATAATTAATTAAAATATATAATATTCAGGCAATGCAAGAGTAATGCAAAATGACCAAGCAGCTGAAACATCGTCGGATCTAGCTCACATATCATTCATTGATACTTTATCTACAGAGAAGGAAGATATCTGCAATTTAAATGAAATTGTATACGACGAAGAACCACACGAAACATTAAATACAACGTCAAGTAATGTCTTATTGTGCGATAAAAATGATGTAAATTGTTTAAATGAAATTATACACAATGAGAATAATTGCGAGGAATCTAATGAAGATATAAGCGGTGATAATCAAAGCGATAATGGTAATGTCATTTATGAAGATTATTTTAGTTTATTTAATAACAGTCCGGACATAAATGATAACATAAATGACAATACTGTTATGTTTGAAGCTGCCGGTTTATCAATTCGTGAAGTTTTCACAATGGTCTAAGCTTTATGTTTGCGCTATCATCATTCCGATTAATCGAGACATGCGTTATTAAATTTAATAAAAAGTTTAGCTGGACCAAAATTTAAGTACATAAATACTTCAAAATATACGATGTCGAAAATGTATAATCCACCCGCGGATAAAATATTGTACGTATTTTATTGTATCGAATGTTATATTCCACTTTTAAATCCACTTTCCAAACATCGTGTTGGTCAGAAAAAGACAGTTGTATGTAATCAGTGTAAAAATGAGTATAATATTTCTCCAAAATCTCCAAACCATTTTATATCTATTGATATTGAATACCAAATTCGAGCCTTATTAGAGGATGAAAATATGCGAGATACTTTGATGAATACAAACATAAACATCACGTTACAGAAAACAAATATGTCAGATGTGTACGACAGTATTTTATACAAGAATATCGCAAAGAATCAAAAATGTAAAGTTTTGACTTTCAACTTTAATACGGACGGTTTTCCTATATTTAAAAGTAGCAGAAATAGTATTTGGCCCTTGCTATTAATAATAAATGAAATACCACCTAATCGTAGATTTGATTCATTAATATTAGGAGGTTTGTGGATATCCAAATCTGAGCCGCAAACAAAGTTTATGAATTTATATCTCAAGGTTTTCATTCAACAAATGGAAAAATTAATGAATGATGGTATTACTGTATTAAATAGCAACAATGAAAGCATCAAATTCGTTTTACGACCATTGTGTGTATCAGTTGACTCGGTTGCTCGTCCTATAATCCAAAATAGAATACAGTTTAATGGATACTATGGATGTTGTTCGAAAAGCGATTAAGTCTCTTTCCACTAAGCAGACAACGAGGCACTGGAAGGAATCTGTTTTACCGACCCGTTCAAGACGGAAACGTGCGTATGCGCTGCGCTGTTAGAAGAAGCATTCAGATCATTCTGTTATACGCACACGAGTCGAAATTAAGTTTATTGTAAATCCTTTCATTATTAAAAGTTAGCCGAATTGAATCAAGTCCACGTGTATTTATTTTCACGGTCATTATATCCTGGTTGCAACATTCTGGCGACCGTGACTAAACGTGTATCGTTGCTAACCACTTTCAAAGAAGAATAACCGTGAGAGGTTAAGTTGTCGACCACGATGGAAAAGCTGAAATCGGCACAGAAGGTTTTACGCAGCTCGTTTACAAAGGCGTATAACGCTTTTCAAATTGAGAGAAAGAAGTCGTCACCGGACTTAACCAAGTTACAGACACAGTTTGCATTAATACGAGATAAAGCAAGCGAACTCGGTGAATTGAGTCACAAGATACAAGATGCGATGCTTGACGCTGATGAAGAAGAAGAAATTCTTATTAAAGAAGTAGAGAACGCTGACGAATATACGGCCAAATATCATCAGACAAAGATCGAGCTGAGTGACCTTGTGGAAGCAGGGCCGTCGCAGATGCCAGTTCCCCAGCCAATAATAATAACTTCTCAGGAAAGTATTCGTGTGCTAAAGCTTCCTAAGATCGAATTGAGGAAATTCGGGGGCGAAATTAAAGACTGGCTCTCATTTTGGAGCACATTTCGAAAGATTCACGAAGACGCGACGTTATCAAGGGAAGACAAATTCCACTATCTTTTACAATCTACAGTTAAAGATTCGCGCGCGTTCGAGGTAGTCAATAGTTTCCCCCCTACCGCGGATAACTATGAGAAGGCCGTCGAAAGTCTTAAATCTCGTTTCGGTAAAAAAGACTTGCTTATAGAATTTTATGTACGAGAGCTTTTAAAATTAGTTTTGAACAAAAGCAAGAACATCTCGCTGATTTCAATCTATGATAAATTAGAGACACATTTGCGAGCGCTCGAGTCACTAGGCGTAACTACAGACATGTGTGCTGCGATGTTATTCCCATTGGTTGAATCCTCGCTGCCAGAAGAAATTTTACGAACCTGGCAGCGGGCAATGGCTACAATGGATGTTTCGATTACGAATGTTACTGCCAAAGATCGTCTCATGCATTTGATGGCATTTTTAGATAAAGAAGTGGAGAGCGAAGAACGCATCCATATGGCCAAGACGTGTTTTGAGACAAATGACGATTCGACGAAGAGCAAGGATAAAAAGAAATTAAAAGGCGATCGAAATCAAGATATCGTTACGGCAGCCGGACTGTTAACGGTGAAAGAAACAAGTACGCTGAAATGTTTGTTCTGCGAAGAGCCTCATGATAGTCTACATTGCGGAAAGGCCAGGAGCATGTCTGTGGAACAGCGAATCACTTTAATTAAGAATAAGCATGGTTGTTTTAAATGTCTGCGGACAGGACACAGTTATATAAAATGTCGTAGCAAAGGAAAATGCGCATGGTGTGGAAAAGGACACTGTTTGCTGTTGTGTAAGAATATTATCACTAGCGACAAAAAAGCGGATAAAGGCACTGAGAAAGAACAAAGTGAGTCAGCCTTTAACGAAGTAAGTAGTGGACTTGCCAATATTTCTTTAGACGCTAAAGTATTTTTACCTATGTTAAAAGTTAAATTGCGAGGTTCTAAAGGTACAGTAAATGCACGAGCTGTTATTGATACTGGTTCTCACAAGTCTTATATTTTGAATCGAGCAGCAGAAGAATTAGATTACAAGACCGTGGGAGAACAAACCATGGTACACTTATTATTCGGAGGAGCCAGAACCAAACCACAGAATCGCAAAGCATGTCGGATTTATTTGGAGCACCTCGATGGTTCGTACAAGTGCGATTTCATCGTTTTTCAACAAGAAGTTATTTGTCACAGCACTCCCAAATCAAACAATAAGCCGTGGAAGGAGGCGCTTAGACAGAATAAGGTACAATTATCTGATGATGGAGAAGGTGACGAACCTATCACAGTATTAATAGGAGTAGATATTGCCGGAAGGTTGTTCACCGGGAAGTTACTTCAGTTAGATAACAATATAACGGCTATTGAGACGAAACTTGGTTGGACATTAATGGGTAGAAATTTAATCGACAAAAACAAAGAAGATACAACTTTGATGATTGTGTCTATGATGACAGAAAATGCCAGTGTATCGGACCTATGGAAACTGGATGCTCTAGGAATTACAGATCCTATAGAAAGTAAAACTAAGGAAGCACGTCAAGCGGAAGTGAAAATTTTGTTTCGAGATTGACGATGAAGGACGTTATAGAGTTTTATTGCCTTGGAAAATGAATCATCCAATATTGCAAGACAACAGAGAAGTAGCTGAAAAGAGACGAAACTTGGTTGGACATTAATGGGTAGAAATTTAATCGACAAAAACAAAGAAGATACAACTTTGATGATTGTGTCTATGATGACAGAAAATGCCAGTGTATCGGACAATTACGAAGAAACTGCGTCAGGAGAACTTATACGAAGATTACGAAACAGTTTTCAATGACTGGCTTTCTGAAGGCATTATTAAAAAGATACCAAAAAGTGAAATTGAAAAAAAAAGTTATTATCTTCCACATAGGCATGTTGTTAAAGAAGGAAGTACGACCAGAATTAGACCCGTTTTCGATGCTTCAGCGAAAACGAAAGACTCCCCATCGTTGAATCAATGTTTAGAAACGGGTCTTAACCTACTTGAGCTTATTCCGGCCATGTTGCATCGTTTCCGAGAGAGAAAGATAGGAGTATCAGCAGACATCGCAAAAGCCTTTCTTCAGATAAGTATCACTCAGTCTGATAGAGATGTACTAAGGTTTCTATGGTGGGATACTCAAGGAAACATTATAACATACAGACATCGTAGAGTTGTCTTTGGCGTATCAAGTAGCCCTTTTTTATTAGCAGCAACTATTGAGCTACATATTGAGCGAAGTTCCAATGCTACCAGTTCTACATCTAGAGAAGTTATCTGTAAAAAACTAGAAAAGTCATTTTATGTGGATGATTGTGTCACAAGCGTTGATTCAGAGACTGATTTGCAAACTTTTCAAAAGGAAGCTGTTTCTCTAATGAGTGAAGCGAAATTCGATTTGAGAAAATGGACGTACTCTGGTATGAAGAGCCAATATAGACAGACTACAGTACTCGGCCTTCTATGGGACACTGAAAAAGATACTTTGGCATTGTCAGGATTCCCACTGAACACAATACCAGAGAAAATTACGAAAAGGATTGTACTTTCATCGACGTGTAAAGTGTTTGACCCCTTAGGAATTATCTGTCCTGTGATACTCAAACCGAAATTAATGTTACGACGTTTATGGGATCAACACTTAGACTGGGACACAAAAATAGATCAAGATAACGAGAAAGAATTTCTTGAATGGATGCAGCAGTTAAATCTTCTTCAAATCTTAAAGATACCTCGTTGGATTTTTGGTACACAACGAGATAAAGATTCTATAACATTCCATGTTTTTGTGGACGCAAGTCAGGAAGCCTACGCTGCAGCTCTATTTATACGAGTAGAGTCAGATCTAGAAGTTAAAGTGCATCTAGTAGAAGCTAAATCGAGAGTAGCGCCACGAGAGAAGAAAACAATACCGCGTCTTGAATTACTCGCCGCTACCATTGGAGCAAGATTAATGCATTCTTTCGACCAGGCAACAAATTATAAACATATTAAAAGATACTTTTGGAGCGATTCCACTACCGTTTTGTCCTGGATACGTCGAGAGAAACAATGGACAGTTTTCGTATGGAACCGAGTACAAGAAATAAGAAAGCTCACTGATCCAAATTCTTGGAGATACGTACCGGGAAAGTTGAATCCGGCAGACTTGCCTTCTCGAGGCTGTGACGTACAAAAATTTCTCGAAATTAAATGGTGGGAAGGCCCATCCTGGTTGAGATTAACCCCTGAAAAATGGCCAAAAGAAGATGAAGAAGTCAACGAAACGTCGGTCAATGAAGAACTTCGGAAAACGCCTATGCGACCACAGAAGGCACTCTTTAAAGAAAATGAAAATGTAATCTTGAGTAACTTAATTGAGAATTCTAGAGAAGAAAATATTCCGTGGTATTTACAAAGGTATTCATCGTATGTTAAAACTTTACGTTTAATTGCTTGGATATCAAGATTCCTCAACAACAGTAGGAAGATTCAGGTAATCAACAATGAGAAAATAACTGCCAAAGAGATCATCGCAGCTGAGTTGCTTCTATGTAGACTAGCTCAGAAAGAATCATTCAAAGGAGCAAAAGATCCACGGTTACAAAAATTAAACGTATTCGAAGATAAAGGACTTCTGCGTACGAAAACGATTATCTCTAATCGACAAGATAATTTCGATTTTAAAAATCCAATAATTCTCGACACTAAACATTTGTTGACGGAGAGGATCATTCACTATACACATGTGAAGCTGAATCATGCGGGTATCAACATCACAATGAATAATCTGCATGAAAAGTTCTGGATTATTCAAACTCGTAAAGCGATACGTTCCGTTATCTACAAATGTAAGATATGCCGCGGACACTCTGCAAAAATAATGGAAGCCCCTCCTGCAGTTTTACCAGAAGATAGAGTAAGAGATGCCAATACATTTGAAAAAACAGGCATCGATTTTGCAGGGCCGCTTTTCTTATCTGACGGACATAAGGCATACATTTGTCTTTTCACATGTGCTGTTTATCGAGCAATACATATAGAGCTCGTTACCACATTATCAATGGAAGGTTTTTTCGAAGCCCTCAGGCGATTTATAGCACGCAGAGGAAGACCATCTATTATCTATAGTGATAATGGAAGAAACTTCGTGGGAGCATCGAATCTCTTAAAAAGAATTAACTGGAAGAAGATTGCTAGGTACGGAGCTATTAACAAAATAGAATGGTATTTTAACCCACCTTCAGCTGCTTGGTGGGGAGGATGGTGGGAGCGCTTAAAGGACCTACTGAAAAGGACATTGGGAAGAACCTCACTCAATTATGAGGAGATGTTCACAGTTTTATGTGATTGTTAGGCAGTGATAAATTCGAGGCCACTTACGTATATGACAGAAGAAGCTGCGGAAGCAGTTACAATCACACCTGCAATGTTTCTTCAAGATATTCAAGAAGAGGGAATACCAGACTTAGATCAAATTGGTAGAACCCAGTTGGCGAAAAATTTACGTTATCGTCAGAGATTAAAAGAAGAGTTAAGGAAACGATTTCGCATCCAGTACCTGGGACAATTGTCTCGATGGAGCAAACGCAAATATAATACAATCTCGGTCTTAGTAGGCGATATCATACTTGTGGCCAATGATTTGCAAAAACGTATTAATTGGCCTATGGCAAGAATTAAAGAACTTTTCCCAGGAAAAGATGGCATAGTACGTGTTGTGAAGCTACAGACATCCGATGAAGAATTGATTCGTCCGATACAAAAATTAATTCCCTTAGAAATGAAGCTCTGTGACGAGAACTTTAAACGATACGCAGATTTGGTCACGCCGGCCATTGAGGTTCAAGACTATTCTGAATCTACTCCTGAGCTAACAACAAGGACAAGAAGCGGACGAATCATAAAGAAGCCAGAGCGACTGGAATTTTAATTTTTTTTTTTTGCTATGTTTTAATTACTATCTTTATTATTTTTTCCTTCTCTAACAGATTAAATTGACCCAAGAAAACACGCAATTTAAGGTGGGAGGATGTTCGAAAAGCGATTAAGTCTCTTTCCACTAAGCAGACGACGAGGCACTGGAAGGAATGTTTTACCGACCCGTTCAAGACGGAAACGTGCGTATGCGCTGCGCTGTTAGAAGAAGCATTCAGATCATTCTGTTATACGCACACGAGTCGAAATTAAGTTTATTGTAAATCCTTTCATTATTAAAAGTTAGCCGAATTGAATCAAGTCCACGTGTATTTATTTTCACGGTCATTATATCCTGGTTGCAACAGATGTAGTTGGTGCTACGATAAAGGTGTCTATGCGCATGGTTCAATGCGATATCCTATTACAGAGAAGGAATCATTGCGAAATCATGAAAAGTATGTAAAAGACATAAACGAAGTTAAGCGTATGCAAAGACCAATTAATGGTGTTAAAGGTGCTTCTATTTTGACAACATTTGAACATTTCGATTGCGTTTGGGGATTCCCTGTAGACTACATGCATGGCATACTGTTAGGAGTTGTTCGCCAAATGTGGATTGAATGGAACTCCCCTAGTTCTCCATTTTATTTGTCCCGAAAACAAAGAGAAAATGTCAATAGAAAATTATTAAATATAAAACCTCCACAAGAAATACATAGATTGCCAAGATCTTTGAATGAAGGTAAATTGAAAGCAAGTGAATGGCGGTCGTGGATTTTATTTTACAGTGTGCCATGTCTTACAGGAATATTAAATGATAAAGCCTTAATTTCGTTTACACGTTTAGTACGAACCGTTAACGTACTACTTTCTGAAAATATTTCAGAGAAAGATTTGGAACAATGTGAAATTGATTTAATACAATTTGTTGGTGAAACTGAGATTTTATACGGTAAAAGCGCTATGACTTTCAATATGCACTCTTTATTGCATGTAGTTTACAGCGTTCGTATGAGTGGTCCATTGTGGGCAACTTCGGCATTTCCATATGAAAATGGAATTTTTCATTTAAAACAAAATGTTAGTGGTCCAAATGGAGTGCTCTATCAAATTGCAACTAAAACATTGCAAAGAAACAGATTAAAAAATTTAATCATAAATAATAATAATAAGATAGACACATGCAACATTTACTGCCAACAATTATTTAATCCTCGAAAATTGTTAATACAAAATACAGTCACTGTATGCGGTGCTGTTCTATTAGGAGAAATAGAAGGTTTTGAAGACACTAAAAATTTGATTAAAGAAACATTTGGTTTCGAAAATGATCAAGATAATGTCCGAATATATAACAGATGTATATATAAAGATACAATTTTCCATAGTACCTTGTACGAACGGCCAAAAAAAAGTAACGATACTTTCATACAACTACAATCGTTTGTTATAGTTGAAATATGTAATTTTATTCACTTCAAAGATAAATGTTATTTAACAGTTAAACGGTATGAGATAGATCCGATTTTTAATTTAAATCATATTATGAGGGTACGAAATAGTAGTAATTTACAACAAAACTCAAAGCAGATTGTGCCGCTAAATAGCATTAAATGTAAAGTAGTTTATGTAGATGTCATCGATAATAAATATGTATGTATTCTTCCCAATGTTATCGAAATCCAATAAAAATTAATACAGGTATAAATATATATGAAAATTAATATGTATATATTGCATAATATATTTTTTTTTACCTACATAGAAAATTATAATCTACATCATAACTTGAACAGAGGTAATTAATATAAATAATAAACACTAAGATACTAGTAAGCAATAAATATTTAAATGTTGTAACAACGTTATTGTGTTGTTTCAAAACACTTCTTACTTACTGGAGTCCAATAGTATTCTCATAGAATATGTTATACAACTTGTTTAAATATAACGACAAAATCTATCGTTTCTTATACGAGGTAAACGATACACGTTACGTATTTTCGCAACTAAGATCGCCCAGTATCCGAAAAATCCAAATTCAGATACTGGGCGGTCTTCGATTTATATGTAGTCATCCTACTATACTATATATGAATCGACTTTAGATATATATATATATATATATATATTATATCGCGTTTTCTATCAGAACAATACCTACTACATTATTGGGTTATGTACTGGCTCCAGGAAGGACGATTTTTGTAATCTATGAACTTGTAATTCTATGAAAGCACCGTTAAATCTGCTTGATATCTATAAATGAACATCACAATGAAATATATATCGTTTCTTGTTATTGTAACAAATACTGTACACATTTTCTGTATCTTATTATGCTCCCCATATTCGCGTAGTTATATGATAAATAAATGAAACTATAAATATTCTATCATTTTATATTAAGAAAATGATAAGCTGATAGGTAATTTGTACTTATCTTAACTATATAGTTATTCTTCCGAAAAAAGGTACAGAAACCGACGTAGCATTGTCTGAACAAAAAACAATAGAATTTCTGATAAATGATACATATTTGTACAATATAATATTAATACGCCAATACAGGAAATGTAATAAAAACATTTAAAAATATGTGATAAAACATAAGAAACGATAGAATTTTTGTAAAGTTAAAATTCATTTAGATACCATGATACAGTAATAATCTCATAGAGTACGTTACACGTATTCGTTCCGAAACCAGTATGCAAATCAGCGAAACATTGTCTCCACAGGCAAATGATAGCATCTCCATACGAAGATTCAAATCGCGCGAATGCAAGGAAATTAGTAGAATATATAAAGTGTATTGTAAAATTCATATAAGAAATGATAAACTTTCAATTACATCAATTTACATAGGGTATAAATACTACACAAATGCAAGCGAAATTTAATAGGGTACAAAAGAATGTCTATCGTAAAATTCACATAAGAAATAATAAACTTTATCATTAAGTTGAAATTCATTTACATATAGGTACCACAGTCCAACAGTCAAGGCGGTAACCACTTAATGTAATCGTGAGATAGAGTTCCTGAAATCATTGTACAATTCATATGTATAATCCGATAATTACATATATGAAACTACAAGAAATAATTATATAATATCTATAATCGTTTATTCTACTTAATAACTTTATATATATAGTGAAGAAAATTATTTTTCATCGGATAAAATCGTATGAAATCAAATAAAATCATGTAATCTGTGGGACAATATTTCAGCTAGTAGTTATACCCCCTCGCCAACAGTAATCTCATAGAATTTCATAAGTCATCATAATGAGGTCCGCCATACAAACCAGCGTTGCATTGTTCAGATAGAAAACGATACAATTTCTGTAGGTCGATTCATATATATAAGGTATAATAACTGTGCGAGGGTAAAGGACTTAATAGAATATATGCCTATTGTAAACTTTACATGAGAAACAGACTTTATCGTTAAGTTGAGATTCATTTACATAGGTACCAAAGTCCAACAGTAATATCATAGAATCTGTAAGTCGTCGTAGTAAGATCCGTTATACAAACTAGCAGGGAATGGAAAGTTACTTTTTAAAAGTAACTAGTTACAGTTACTCGTTACCGAGTAAAAAATGTAACTAGTTACAGTTACAGTTATCGCTTTTTAAAAGTAACTCGTTACAGTTACCGTTACTTGAAAAATAACTTTTCGTTACTTTTCCGTTACTTTTTTAAAATCAATTTAAAAATGTACTTTTGCGTTTTTTTTTATTATTATATGTAATACTGACAAATATATAGTTTTATTAAAAAAAAAAACAATGTAGAATGGCTCAAGTAATAAATTAAATAAAAGTAAAATGAGAAGGGTTACGAGCCAAAAATGAAACAGTTTATTTCCGATAAGAACGACGATGACAATGTAATTAAATGTATAAATATATATTAGAACAATAACATGGATAAAACAAGATAAAAACAAACGACATTTCGACACTTATTGTCATCGTCTTTTAAACTGTTTCGCTTTTGAGTTCGTAGCCCTTCTCATTTTACTATTATTTAATTTATTTTTTAATTTTTTTTAAACACAATTTTGTAATTCTAAAACCTGTAAAATATGCAGCAAACTGAAATATTTGTATGTCCTATGTATTACATAGAAGATAGAAGTGTAAAATAATTACTGGATCATGACGGCCGAATATTTAAGGGCTTTCAAGTCTTATTGATAAGCGCTATAAATAGCATGTATCCAATCGAACCGTGTTCAATCGTGTGCAAAGTAACGACAAAAGTAACTGTAAATTTCGTTACCGTTACCCAAAAAATGTAACTCGTTACCGTTACAGTTACCAAAAAAAAAAAGTAACGCAGTTACCAGTAAAGTTACCAAAAAAGTAACTTGTAACTGTAACTTCGTTACAAGTAACGAGTTACTTCCATTCCCTGCAAACT